GGATGTGGACCATCCCCTAGGTGTATGGGGGCATCTTTGTGCACTTCCCCCGCCCTCTATCTATTGTTGACATGTTTAGTCCCTTAGTGACCTTCAGAGGGAGGCACTCTTTTGTCCCCATTTTACAGATGAGGAAGTGGAGATTCCGAGAGGTTCATAACCTGCCCAGGGTCACATGGATATTCAGTGTTGGGCCAGGATCTGTGCCCCATGGGCTGATCCCATAAGTGTGCTGCGAGCACTATGCTTTGCTTCTCCTATAAATGCTGGTCAGTGGGTCAGTGATCAGTATTCTGTGGGTGCCCACTTGGTGCCTAACTCCATGAACCTGAGTTGCATCCAGGGGCAGGGAAGTGCATGAGAAGCCCCTGCCTCATGGGGTGACAAGCACCTGCATAGAGGGGTGGGGACAGAGGATGGTGAGAGGAGGGGCCCAATAGCCTGTGGGTCACTGCTGGGGCACTGGTGCTAGGAATGGGCCTGGACCCAGGGCCGTGGGGTGTGGCAGGGGCTGCCAGGCTCTGTGCTACTCTCAGAGCGCCTGACAGCCCTGTCTTGGGCCACCTTGAGAGGAGGACATCCTCCTGAGAAGGCCCCTGGGAAGATGTGACATGCCAGCCAGTCACCAGCTCTCAGGCAGTGTAGCCCAAGATTTTAGAATGTAAATACTAGAAACTATTGATAAGCAAACTGCAAAGCCAGACAGTTTTGAGAGCATCGCACATGTGTGTGACTTCCCAAAGTGACAGTGCATTTTGGAAGGGGCCGGGACCCAGGGAGGTAGGAGCCAGGGAACTGAGGCAACCCCAGATCATCTCCCTTTACAAATTCCCTGACTCTCATCACCTGTGAGCAAGTTCAAATTCCTGCCCACAGTTTTGGAGGCCCCCGCTGCTCTGGGCTGGGATCCTTCTCCAGCCCCACTGCCCACTCCTTCCCCTGACCCTGTCCCAGCTTCACTGAACTTCTGCAGGCTCCTCATGAATGTGCCGGGCTCTTCCTGCCTGCCTGCCTTCCACGCATCTAGAAACTTCTAGCGCCCTTTCCCCTCAATGGCGGGGTAAACCTCTGCTACTTTCTCTCAGTGCAGTACTGCCCTCAAGGCTTCCCTGACCTTCTCCCTTAGCGACATGACCCATACCTGGAAGCTCTGACTCCTGCTGGGCTGGGCCTGAAGCCCATCCCCACAGCTGTGTGTTCCTCATCACTACCAGCTGGCACTGATTCCGCCCCACATACCAGCCCCTGGCCATGGGCTGTGAAATTGAAAACCTAGCGAAGGCTGAGCCCTAGGGAAGTGTGCATCAGATAGAAAGTCATGAGCGACTGTCAGGGCGCCCCCACCCAGACGGGCCTGTTGGTTTTATCTGATGGGCTCTGGGCGTCATGGTGTGAATTATGGTGAGAGTAATCACTGTGAGAAGATATTTTATTTACATCATATTTACAAAGTGCTTTCCCAGACAGGATCTCATCAATGTTGGGCGGTAGTCGGGCAGGGATCAGTGTCCTTGTTCCCAGTCCCACAGCCCAGAAGACAGGCCTTGCCTGGGATCTCAACTTTTATAGTTTCTAGAGCAAGTCATTGGAGTCCAGGTCCCTGAAGACACGGACCATTCCAAGGACAAACCCCAACTGGGAAGGCGTTTGGGGAGGGGGTTCTGCTCAGGGTCCTGGGTGAAAGGAAATCTGAAAGGACTGTGATTTGTAAGATAAGCAAGGCATACCGGCGGATGCATGTGAATGTTCTTTAGCAAGTGGGCACTGGGCACCTGCCACAGCGCAGGCCCTGTGCCAGGCACTGGGCTGGACAGGTGACCCTGGTCTTTGAAAGCTCACAGGCGAGACAGACACAGGTGTGGACAGTGGTGATTCGGGCTGCAGACTGCTAAGGCAGGGGACAGCCTAGGGCTCACGCAGGGAGATGGAAAGTCACACTTGTAAAAATATCAGTGTCAGGCTGTCATCCCAGAGCTGAGATCATGTTCCACATTGACAGCAGTATCAGGAATACTGGACGCTCTGCCAGCCTCTCCGCTCTGCTGTGTGAGTAGAGCGACCCCCAGTGGCAGTTACAAGAATCTCTTCTTGTTCAGCGAGTTCCAGGCAGCTCACGGCTTGCATGTATGCAGAAGTATACATGACACATTTGTTTGTTACTCACTCCAGCAGCAAACAAGGGCTTTAGAACACAGTGCCAATAATGTCAAAAAATGAAACATAGGCAAAAGTCATGAATACACAAATAATATAAAAGGAATACAAATAGCCAGTGGTCTTACACAGAAAGGTCAGCCCTACTAGTTATAAGATAAATACAAATGTGCAAAACCTCAATATTCAATTTTATTCTGAATATTTGTCAAATATTAAAAGTACCTTGGCACTGCTGAGAGTTGGTAAAAATTTGAAACAGCCTAAATGTCCAATAAAAAGGAACTGATTTGGTAAATGAAGGCATTCTTCATGTTAGAGATAATTGGACAACCGTTAAATACCAAAGTGCAGAAGAACTTGGAGAGAAATAATCCTCTCATAATATCAAAGGATAAAAATGAATGAAGCAAAAATCGACATTTTATAGAAACACACTTTTGAAAGAATTTAAATGTCTATGTATAGAAAAAGCTTGGAAGGGTAAATTCTAACATATTCATCACATTTGTGCCTGGGTATCACTGTATTCCTCACTTTCTTCTTTTGGCCTGTCTTTCAAAATAAATTACATGTTAAAGCTAAAGCCATATAAAGTTACAGGCAAATGCTCCCATGAGTGTTGAAAAGAATGAAGGTTGGCAAAACTGAGCAGAGAGGTGCAGGAAGGGAGAGAAAGCTCGGGTCAACTTGGTAGCTCTGGGCTGTAGTCCTGCTCTCCCACTGTGTGTGCTGTGTGATCTTAGACAAGTCACTCTCCCTCTCTGAGTACTGATTTCATCATTTGCGAAAGAAGCGGGGGGTGGGGGTGTCACATCATCTCCTAAGATGTCCCTCACTGGATCTTACATCCTCGAGGCAGCAGTCTGTGTGTGTTTTATCTGTGGCTGTGTCCCCAGCTCCAGAGCAGGGCCTGCCACATAGTAGGTGCTCAAGAAGGATTTGTTGAACTGAAGTCAACTTGGGTATTGGAGCAAAATCCAAACAGAAATAACAGTGCAACCATGGTGCCCTTCGACACGCCTTTCTCTGTCCCTTTCTCGTCCTCACCCCTCTCCCCTGCCTGTCTCACTTCATTGAATTTCTATCTCCTCCTTTCTCCATCCTATCCCTTCTTTTTCCTTCTCATTTACTTTCTCTCTCTTTGGCTTTCTCTTTCTCCTTCATTCCCTCTTCTCTGCCTCGTTCCAACAGTGATTTTACAATGCTGACAAAAATGTTAGTTCTGATCCAGTGGGAGGCAAACAAATAAAAACAAGAGGGAGCCCAGGAGCGGCAAGCAGGAGGCCTGGCGCGGGCCAGGCTGGAGCGGGTGCCGGGGCCCTTGGCTCACTCGTTCAGGCAGAGGCCCTGCCTCAGACCTGTTAAAAGCTTCTGGGTGATTCGCAGGTTGGCCAGGGTTGAGATGCCTGGTCTATAAGGAGAACTGGATGTGACACAGACCATCACGCGGATAACTGCAGGGTCAAAACTTGGAGGGGAGGTGCTGGTGCTTGGAGAGGGAATGGGTTTAATCTGGGGGAGGTCGGCCGAGGCCTCCTTAAGATCTGGCCTTTAAGCCCAGCCCAGTGGGGAGCAGGTTGGCAGGCAGAGATGTGCGGGCAGCAGGCATCCCAGAGTCTTTTCAGGGGACGGGCCAGCCGGGCGGGAGGAACAGCACATGCGGAGGTGCGGAGGCTGGTGAGAACCAGGGTGGGGAGGGGGCAGAGAGGCCGCTCTGAGTGGAAGTCAGGGTTAGGAGGGTTGGCGGCACCCTGACAGCCGTGGGCAGCGCATGGTGCCTTATTTCAGCATTTGAACTGATCCTGTAGCCTGTGGGGAGCAGGGCGGGAGGGGTGACAGGAGGCCCAGCACTGATGCAGGGGTCAGCTGAGAGCAGAACTGAGGACCTGGGGACAGGTGAGGAGGGTACGGGCATTTCCTGGTCATTCCCCCCTTACCTGTCTCTCCGTGGGAGCCTGGGAAGTGTTTGCTGAGTAAATGCACTAGTAAATCTGAAACGCCCACCTTCCTGCAGGTCTGTCTGTCCATCCAAACATCAAACACGTATTAAGCACCTAGTGTGTGCCAGGCTAAGGTGAGGGTGCAGACCGAGTGAAGGCAAATTTCCTTCCTGAAGGACCTCATGGTCTGGGGGAGGTGGGTGGGTATGCACTCAGCAACCTTTAGAGCCTGGTACAAGTAGCCCCGGGGGCAGAGGGAACCTGGGTGGGTTAGAGCTGGGAGCCCCGGGGGCAGAGGGAACCTGGGTGGGTTAGAGCTGGGCTTTGCCGCCCGCCCCGCCTCCACCACAGTGGCAGCAATGAAGGTCTGCCTTTCAATAGGGCTCTGCAGGGAGGGAAGGCACCGACTTGGGGGTGCTCCTCCAAGTACAGCTGGCGTGCCTTTTGGGGTGCGGCTGAGGGGAAGGAGCACTGTCCAAAGACATCTGGCTGTTTGGGACTTGTTGACAGTTGAGGAACAGGACCACCTGGAGCCCCTGGGCAGGCACGCACCTCCGCTGGTGGGACACAGAGGGAACTTCTGTGCAGGAAGCAGAGGGGCCTGGGAGCCTTCACGCCACTTTCCTACCGGGAGTAGGAAGCTCAGCGGCCCCCTGGCTGGACAGACAGCCTCCTTGGAGAAGTGACTGCTGCCCTTCATTGTCTAGTGCATGGGAACAGTTTACCTGCGGGACCCAGAGGGCCATTTGGCCAGGCCAAGCCATGTGTCATCTGCTCTCCTCACCCAGGGAGGGGACCCAACTCCCTCCTGGGGTCACTGGGAGGGACCTGGGAGGACCAGCTTGGAGGGCGCACCCCAGCCAGGCGCACATAGCTCTCCTGACTTCTTGTGTTTTCTTCAAGGATGCCCTGAGCCGTGTTCAGGACGAACCGCTGCCCCCACCCAGTGACGAGGCACTGACTGCCTGTAGAAGCCGAGGCTGGCGGACCTGCCTCCTCTCCGATGGTGGCCCTGGGCCGAGGGGCTCAGCAGGTGTGTGGGGCATGGGTGCCCGCATGGACACACGCCAGTGAGCTAGCATGCCTGCGACACCCTCATGATGCAGGGTGTGGTTGCTTCTGCTCTACAGGTGGGAAGGGAGGCTCAGAGAGGTAGTGTTGCTTGCTTGTGCCACACAGCTGGTAAAGGTGAGATCAGAGTCCGTGAGCCCATGAGAAGGTCCTTGACTTAGGCTCACTCCTGCAGCCTTAGAAGGTGACACATGCCAGCATGGGGCAGCAGGTGTCTCTCGGGGAGTTGCCTTTGCAGAAGACCATATAATGACCAGGAGCAAGTCTATCCCAGTGACATCGCAGGTGTAGACAGGTTTGAGGTCTGGTAGCTACTGGGGATTAGAAGCCCCTTGTCCTAACTTGTCCCTAATGGGGACCAATGTCTCTTATCACACTGCTGGAAACGGCTTTGAGTGTCCCTGCTGCCAGAGCCACTGCACTCAGGGACCCCCAAAGCCACAGCATCCCCCTGGGTGTCTGTGGTTTACTTACAGTCCTTTGAAGCCAAAAGCAGTTCATGGGTGAGGGGGTCATCGAGAGCCCGCGGTGCTGCTGGCTGGCAAGGCTGACATCCCCTGTCCCATTTCTGAGGAGCAGAGCTGACAGTTCAAGCAAGGTCAAAGCTGTCCTGGAGAAGGAGGAGGGGCCTGGGTGGTGGGGAGGCCCCTTCATCCTAGTGCTGACTGTGTGGGGATTGGGGGCAGCAGTCACAACTCCATGCAGCCCTCCAGGTGCCGGGCTGAGGGGGTGTGGAGGGCAATGCCCCCTGTGTGGGCTCGGCGGTTGGTGGGGGCGGCTTCCGGGCCCAGTTCTCCTGCTCCTCAGTGAATGGTCGTTTCCTGCCTCTGAGCCTCAGCCCCCTCACCTGGCGACAATGGTGATCTCCGGGTGCCTGCAGGACTCCAGGGCCCTGGGTCGGAGAGAAGGGCCGGCTCGTCCTGTGGCTCAGCTGCGAGGGGCAGTCCCGAGGCCACTCCCGGGAAGGCCTTCCTAACCCTGGGCCCTGTTGATCCCCAGGCCAGTCCTCCGAGGGGCCCGGCACCCAAGGCTGTGCTGGGGCTGGACAGGCCCCCTCTGTTTCGCTGCCAGGCCTGGAGGCCACAGATGCGCTCCTGAAAGACCTTACAGGATCTGCCTGTGGACAGGTGAGGCCAGATGCTTTCTGCACGCCCAGGGCGCCAGCTGGGTCCAATCAGCCCTACTATGTGCACGTGCAGTGTGGCCACCACACGGGAGGTAGGAGAGCAGGGTAAAGAGGCTCTAGGTTTAGAAGACCATTATGGAAGTAACAAGGGAAGATGTGAGGAGATGGGCTGGAATGCGGAGGCCTGGCGGGGAGCGGGCAGGAGGGGCACCCAACTGTGGGCCCGGGCCCGGCTGCCATGCAGCAGACTCAATCTCCTTGGCCCCTCTGACCACCTGTGTGACAGCGGCCTGACCCCTGTTCTGGAGAGGAGGCTGTGCTTTCCCAGGGCCACACAGCCCTGGAGACAGACCCGGAGCTGCTGTCTCTGCAGCCCACACTCTGCAGCATGTGTCCCCTAGGGGTCAGGAGCCTGGTTCCAACTCGCTCAGTGGCTTGCTCAGCTTCTGCTCCCTGTCATGAAAGAACAAACGTGTGTGTGGCCCAGTGCTAAGGCCCGCTGGCCCTGATGTGGCTCTAAACAGAACGGGACTTGACTGGCTCCTGCATTCCTTCATGCCCAGCTCTGAGGCCCTGTGTTGGATGCGTGCCGCCTGCAGAGCAAGGAGAGAACTGAGGGCTGTCTCTGGGGCAGGGAGAGCCCGTGGGCAGCCGGACCCCCGCGGAGTGGCTGAGTTGGACAGGGAGACCTGCCTGGCGGAGAACAGCCAGTGGGGCCTGGGGTGGAGTGGGGCAGGGGTGGGCCATGGTCATGTGGGAGCCCAAGGGCTCTCAGTGGGCCTGGGTGAAGCCCGCTCTCACCCCCAGGCCTCCTTTCCTCCCAGAAGGGCCAGGCTCCAGTCCAGCCTGGGTCTATTCTGCGAGCTGGGCCAGTCCCTGGCTCTGGATAAATGCACTGAACAAGTGAATATAGACATGTATTCAAGAATATCTATGAAACACATCCTGTGTGCCAGGCACTGTTCTAGGCCCAGGGTCCCTGCCCTGGGGGAGCAGTGCTGTCCACTAGAGCCTTCTGTGAGGCTGGAGATGTTCTATCCCTGTGCATCCAAAGAGTGGCCATGGACCACACATGGCTTCGGAGCTCTCGAAATGTGGCTGCTGAGGCTGCAGAGCTGAACGTTCACTTTTATTTAATTGTTTTACATTTGAAAAGCCCCCTTGTGGCCTGTGGTCACTGAATTGACAGTGCAGGCTCTTCCCGGGGGTGTTAGACAACACACGTAGCTACACAGGAAAATGGGAGGGAAAGGTGGTAAATGGACAGAGTGGTGGCCAGGCTCAGTAGTCCGTTTGGGGAAGGCATGTCTGCGCTGAGATGTGAATGAAGCAGGAGAGGGGCCCCAGGGGAGGGAGTTCTGGGCTGCGGGCAGAGCAGGTGCAGGGCCCTGGGTGGTAACAGGCCTGGCTGTAAGGATGCCTATGTGGCTGGGCGAGGATGTGCCGAGCATGTCAGGACCCGAGGTCAGAGAGGTGGGGAGGGGAGGATGGAGGTTGGGGTTGCCTCACACGTCACTCTCCTTTCCCATCCCCAGCTTACAACGGCTGTACCCAGCGCGAATGAGCAGACCCTTCTCCTCACCTGCCACTGCCCCCCAGGGCAGCACGTGGGCAGCCCCCTCCTCCCCACGGACCTGGCCTGGATTTCGGAGCAGAGGCCCGCAGCCACCCCGGCCCCAGAGTCCTTTCTCCTGGTTCAGACATCCGCACTCCCTCCCTGGGGGCAGGCCGGGGACCTGGTTCCCCAGCGGCCAGTGCTGCAGCTCTGGGAGGCTTTCCCAGCAGACCTCCAGACCCAGCAGGTCCTGGGTGCCCAGCCCCTGCCTGCTTGCGAAGCCGCAGGGCAGCTCTGCCAGCACCATTGCCATGCAAGGTGCCATGAGGCCTCCCTCTGCCAGGAGTCCCCACAGATTCCAAGTCACCCATTTCCCAGGAGGTGGCCTGAGGATCCTAAAGACCCACGGAGGGAGGGCAGAGGGGACCCAGGGCAGAGAACTGGGGAGAGGAGGCTGAGGAGGACTTGGGGCAGTGAGGGGGAAGCGCGCGGTGGCCAGTGCCCACCAAGTGAGGACGGCCGAGAGAACCTGGGCTGGGAGGGCGGTGCTGGGGCTCCAGAGAGCCCTGCCTGCTGCCCTTGGCCCTTAGCGGAAGACAAAGATTTGCCCCTGTCTCCCAGACTCTCCTTGTCACCCCAGGGGGCCAGCCCCACCAGCAGCCCATGGGCTCTGAGCAGACGACCTGACAGGTCTGAGCTCAAAATAGACAAATTTGCAAAGAAGGTGGAGGCCTGTTTCCAGCAACTGTCTGTCCTGAAGCCTGGGAGTGGCAGTCATCAACTGAAGGCTTCCACGCTGGCAGGAGAGGACGGGAGCTTTGCTTGGAAGTGGCACAGCTGCCAAGAGAATGCTTATTCTCCACAGGCCTTGGCAAATCTGGGTTTGAATATTTGTTTTGCTATGGAAGGAAAAGCCAAGGAGAGCGGCGAAGATGTCAGGCCACGAGAGACTGAGGCCCTGGGGACCCGGGATGTTCTTCCTGGGATGGCACCTGGTTTGGACAATGAGAGTCTGGGCCCAGAGCAGCCCTCTGAGCTGGGTCAGGACTGGCTCTCCCAGCAGCTGAGAGCCCTTGAGAGACTGAGGAGAGAGTTTCATCAGCTTGTTTCTGAACTGAAGAAAGAGAGAAGCGAAGTCTTACACGACAATGCCGAACTTCAGGGAGACCGAGAGAGGTGCCATAAAAAGCTGTGTGGCCTTGAAAAAGAGAGGGAGAGAAATGTGAAAAAAATATCTGTGCTTGAACACGATAACTGTGTCCTGGTGGGAAACATGGCTCACTTAAAGGGGGAGCTGGACCGATATTTGCAGGTCATTTCTGACCTTGAAGACTGCAATAGGAAAAGTTACAGCAAAATTTCTGAGCTCGAAGAGGAAAATGAAAAACTGAAGGGGCGTCTAGGCCAGGTCCAGAAAGCCATGTCTGAGAGCGTCAGGCAGTCCAGAGGCATGGTGAAGCGTGTCACGCTGGAGGACTGGGAGCTCCAGGGGCTGATTTCAGAGCTTGGGGTCAGTTACAAAGAGCTGATAAAGGATGTAGTGCTGGGCATAGAAGACATGACCCAGGCCTTAAGTGGGGAGAATGAACACCTTCTCCACAGAATCCGGGTCCTGGAGGAGACAGTGGCATTGGGGATGAGTGGGGACAAGGGACTTCTGGTGAGAGCAAAGGAGGTCCTCCAGGGAGAGAGCAAGGTGGAGGGGGGCAGGGTGAACTCTGTCGAAAGGGGGGTGCAGGTGACTCAGCTTTCAGGGCAACTGACTGCAAGAGACCACGGGCCGCCCTTGGAGGACACATCTGGGCTGGCTGGAGGGTCGGGGGGATCTTCCTTGGGCACAGAGAATTCCAGGTGCCATGGCCCTCCTACTTGTCCATCAGTGGTCTGGGGAAATGCTGATGCACCAGGCACCCTGAAAGGAAACATCAGTGAAATGGGAGTAAAAGAAGCACGTTTGGAAAAAGCAGAGAAAAGCCCATGGTGTTCTGCAGACTGCAGGCGAGCTCTGAGGTCCCCGAGCAGTGGCCCCCAGGTAGGTTCTCTTCATGCTGCTTAGTCATCACACTGCTCACTTCTAGAGTGCTGGCCACCTGGGGAATCTCCAGCAGCTCTGGGAGGGAGGTGCCGTCATCATCCCCATCCTTTACCAGATGGGAAACTGCAAGCTCAGAGAGATTAAGTGACTTGCCCAAAGTCACACAGCAGGGAGGAGTGGAGCTGGGACTCTCACCGGGGCGGTCTGGCTCCAAGAGTCTCTGTGCTTACCTGGGACATAAGGCATAAGCCCACCCCTGTATTTATGCTATTCAACTGGTATCCAGTGGAACTTGGAGGGGGTGTGTACACTTTAAGAAAAGAGCTTCTATTTTCAGATAGAGGAGTTTTTCAAGTAGCCCAAGTCCTAATTCTGCACATTGGGTCTTTAATTTTTTTTTATTATAAAGTATAATTGACATGTAACATTTGCAAGGTGTAAAGTGTGCTGATTTGATACATCATGTCTTACAATATGATCACCACCACAGCTTTAGCTAACCCCTCTATCACTCCGCGCTTTGGGTCTTACATCGTGGGGAAGAGTCGTGGGCTTCAGGACTCCATCAGAGCTCAAACCAGCTCTGTGCCTGCTCCGTCTGCGACTCCGAGCCAAGATGCAGACTTCCCTGAGTCACAGTCCTCCTCTGTGGACAATACCTGACTTCCTGGACTCCTGGGCTGAAGTGGTCATGATCTTCTTACACCACGATGGTCTTGACTGTCTTAGGGTTAGTGTTGAGCCCTTTGTACGCACTCACTCCCTTTCTCAACAATTTTATCAGTCATTTAAAGGATCATCTTGGGGATTCGTGGATTTCTTTATTGTATGTGTGTACTTCATTTCACAGGATTCTGCTTATATCTACATTATTTCCTTTCTTCCACTTTTGGTTTAATTAGCCGCTCTTTTTCCTGCTTCTTCTGTTAAAGAGCCTGCATCATTGATTTTTCAACTGTTCTTTTGTGAGCTATGCATTTAAATCTACGCCTTTCTCTGCAAGCACTATTTTAGCTGCATCCCACACATTTTCATATGCTGTACTTTTTATGTCTGTTTAGTTCAAAGTAGTTTCTGATTTCTACTATGACTTCTTAAGAGTTATTTAGAAGTATGTTGCTGAATTTCTAAGCATCTGCAGGATTTTTTTGGTTATATTTTTGTTATTGATTTCTAGTTTTATTTCACTGTTGTTAGAAAACATACACTATATTATTTTAATCTTTTAAAATTTAAGATGTTTTATGGGCCGTGTTTTATGGTCTATTTTGGTAAATATCCTATGTGCCCTTGTAAAGAATGAATATTCTACAGTTGTTGAGTATTAATTAGACCAAGTTTATGTGCTGTTCTCATAAACTGTATCCTTATTGATGCGTTGTCTATTTTGTCATTCACTCTGATGGCCTTTGAAATCTCCAACTTTGGGTGCACTCTGTGTATTTCTTCTTTTAGTTACATTGGTTTTATTCATATATGTTGAAATTATTTATGATACATGCAGATTTAAGATTATGTATTCCTGCTGAAGTGACTCTTGTATCATGACAAAATGTCTCTCATTATGTGTCATGTTTCTTGCCCTAAAGTTAAGTTTATTTGTCACTGATGTGGCCACATCCATTTTTTTCATTAGTATTTTCATGGTATACAACATATTTTATACCATCCATCTTTTTGCTGTTAGCCTGTATCTTTATGTTTAAAGAGGGTCTTAGAAACGGTATATACAGGTGACCCTCGAGCAACAAGGGTTTGAACTGCGCAGGCCCGCCTAGGTGCACCTATGTGCAAGTGTACTTCAGTATTGTCTTTATTCCTGGGGCTTGGTTTTACTCCCGCAGTGTGGTGCTTGCTTCCCGGCCCGGCCTTCAGTGGGCATCAGCAGGGTTCCCAGGGCATTCAGCAAAGATGCTCCATTTTGGCTTAGCCACAACTCCGCCATCTTTGCAGCAGCGTATGACCTCTGAAATCTTCAGCAACAGCCTCCTAGGTGCTCTCGTCTGCTAGGCCTCAGAGTCATGCATCATGCTACCCAGCTTGCAATTCAGCCAAGGCCCCATGGGCTGTTCCTAGGATTGACCTGTTACTTGTCCCAAACACCACAGCTATCCTAACATCTCTGAACTTGTCTTTAATTCCTCCACCTAGTAGGACCACTGTCTTCAGCTTAGGCACTACTCCTAAATTATGGTTTGGAAAATGTTCCAGAGAGAAATCCAGGGAGAATGCAGAGCTCACCTAAGTGGGTACCTTTTTTCTCAAGGGTTGTAGTTCTGCATCGGCTGCCATTCCATGCCTTCAAAGAAATGCTTTTATGTATTTCCCCCAGATTTTATAGTTGTCCGATCCCAGCTAGTCAGGAGATGGTGAATATTGAGGCTAAGAGTTTCAAGGTCTGAAAAGATCAGTGGATGAAGAACATTCCAACAGACGGAGAAGCAAACGACTGGGCTCTGAGGCAGGAATGAGCCTGGCTTGTTGAAAAATCAGAAAGAATTTTCGGATCCCATTGGACAAGGGTGGAGCATGGCATGAGATGAGCTTGGAGAAGTTGTCATGGGACGGATCTCAGAAGGACTTGCAGGCCTGGTGATGACCATTTCTAAACGTGGCTGTGGGGGGCAGCCATTGGAGGGTTTTAAGCAGGGGAAAAACATGATTCAGTTTCTGCTGTAAAAAGATCATTGTCTGCTGTGGGGAGAGGGTGCAGGTGGGCACAGGGAACAGTCAAGATGATATTGCAGTTGTATTACCAAAGGAGAGGATTCCAGACAAATCTAGAGTTGGCATCAATGAGAGGTGTTGATGGATAGGAGGCAGAGAGTGAAGAAAACTTTTCCTTTCCATCATCCTAAATCATAAAGCTGATTATGTTCCTATTTGGCTTAAAACCCTCTGTGTCTTGTTGACCACACTTGGTATGAAATGCGCATTCCTTTTGTTGAGTCATAATCCAGCCCCCCGGGGAACTTCAGCTCTTGCTGTGTAGGTCTCCACCCTTCTGCACTCCTACATCCTTGATCTGTCCCTCCACCCCAGCTTTCTGCCGGAAAGGCGGCTCATTTTGGGGTCATCTCCTCTCAATGCCCCAGGATCCATACAGTGCAAAGCTGTGCTAAAGCCGCGTCCAGCGATGTCATTTGGTAGCTTGTAGTTGGTGATTTACATGGTGGAAATCAGCCATGGCTACAAATTCGTGTGTCCCTCTTCAAGGGCTTCTGTGTGGTGCGGGCCTGTGATGAGCAGGGCCAGCCCCCACCCACACTTCCATTCTCTTGAGAGCACACTAGATGCTCTCTTAGGAGCCTCGGGACGAAGCCCTTGTCCGAGTCATGGCAGAGCCACCAGACTCCCCAGAAAGGCCGTGTTGTTTTGCATGGCTTGGAGCTGGATTTTGCGGAGCCATTCGGAGCACCCATCTGTTCTCAACGGGGCACAGCCGGCGGTTCTCAGGCCCACGCTCTGTGAATTTCTATTAATTAAAAAAGTCACATTCTGCTATCATATTCCTTGCAACTAAGGGGGATACCGAGCCACACTGATGCCGCCCACTCACCCCTCCTGTGTTGCTGCGTCTCCTCTTCCCTCTCCCAACAGAAAATCTAGGGCCCCTCCTCCTACCTTCTCACGCCCAGGTCAGGAGCACGTGGAAGAGATGATCTTTATGGGCCTTAAATTCCCAGGGTGGCGCTTTAAAGGAATAACAGGCCGCCCCACCACGGAGGGAGGGCGCTTGAGAAGTCTCTGAGTTTCTGGCCTCCCACAGATGGAATTTCATTAGTTTTAGCAATGCTGTTTCTGTCAAGAGGCCCCCTCAGCAGTGTGAGCCAAGAGCCTAACGATGCCTGGGCCCCTGACCCAGAACCCCCCCTCTGACGATCTCAGGGAAGGGATCAGAGGCATGTTGAGTGGTCATGTGTCCGGGTCTTTGTCGCAGCCCTCATGACGGCAGCAAAATGTCAGAACCATCATCAGGTCGGATATACTCAGAATGCTACGGATATACTAACAGCCGTGTTTCCAACATTATTTAATGATGTGGAAAAATGTTCACAATGTGGTATTCAGGGAGAAAGGTGAGATAGAAAAGATATATGTGGTATATTAAACACTATGCAGAAAAATATATATAATGTGATTTGTATATATGCCTGCTTGCATGTAGTATGTATATAAGTTACTACAAAAAGTTAGAATCCAGAAAAATTGGGGACAATAGCATCACTACCGCTTAACCACACTCCCACACTGTTATATCAGCCTCTTCTGTCTCACCTGCTCCCTCCCAGAAATCCTCTGTTGATGGCCATTTGAAACCTCATGCTTGACCCAAGAAGAGTGAGAGGCTATTTTGTACTGACTTAAGAGGATTCTTTGGGGAAAATGCACTATCTTCTCTTTTTTATATAAATGTATAAAGCCTTAATGTAATAAGGATCTCATAATTGGATTTGAACATTAAATTTCATTCATCAGACAGTGTTTCAGTATAACGGTGACGGACATCTATGAACACAGACTGAAATGCCATACCATTTAGCATATTTTTGAAAATATATGTGAAAAATATATATGTCTTTGAAAATAATATTCTAGAATGTTAATCTGAGATTCCCTAGACCCTCCCCAACATCTCACCTCAAGAAACGCAGCACAGGCCGCACACCCTCATATGTGCTCTTGCACAAGGGCAGGGCAGAAAGACCAGAAGAAAATGTGCAGATAACAATGACAATTGTGTTGGGTCATAGGATTTAGACTGATTTCTTTTCCTTTATTTTCAAAAAAATTTTTTTTGGTTTTACTGCAAGGAAAATGTAAGCAGAGAAAATAAATCAAAAAGTAGAACAGGTACTCTTTGTTTGCTAAGGCAAATAACTTGGAAGATAACATAAGAACTGCATTCACATCTCTGATGTCCACAGCTGCAGGACCCGGAGGCCGGGACCCTCGAGGAAGACCTCAGGCTGTGCATCCGGCAGCTCTGTCACCAGATGCTCACCCTGCAGTGCCAGCTCAGAGACCAGGGCTCCCTACACTGGCAGCTACAGGTGGCTCGGGGTGAGGATGCCCACCTGCAGGAAGAGCTCAAGGCCCAGGTAGGCTGAGCCCACACTTCCTTCCCCACCTTTAAACTGCTGTTCCCACCCTCCAGAAAGTTTTGAGAATAGGAAAAAGAGTCAGGTAAGATCTTACTGACCACGACCAGCAGTTTGTTAGTATTGATTAGAACAGTATAGGGAAGGAAAAGAAAGCCTTTACTCCCTCCCTTCAGCCAAGCTCTGCTAAATCAAGAAATGATTACATGTACATGGTTTTTCAAAAAGTCAGTTTTTCAAATGTTATGTAAATAAAGGTCTTTCCTTCTGTAGAAGTGAAGTGGGTGTGATTATAAAAGGGTACTAGTGACATCCTTGTAGAGTTAAAACTGTTCAGTATCTGGTGATAAAATGCACAGAACTTGACATTTAAGACACATATGTGCACATGCATGAACACATTCACAAGTAAAACTGGAGACATCTAAGATTGGTGGATTGTATCAATGTCAATATAATTGACATTATACTGTTGTAACATACTATAGTTTTGCACAATGTTCCCATTGATAAAAACTGGGCAAGTGTACAAGGGATCTCTTTCTTCCAACTGCCTATAAATCTATAATTATCTCAATTAAAAGAAAATAGTCCTTCCTCCCCTCAACCCCAGCCCCTTCTGTTCCCCAGTATTTTTTCAACCCTATCTACCCACATTCAGTATTTGTGTGTGTGTGTGTGTGTGTGTGTATAAAATCCCACCATACAAAAATATTCTGTATCTTAATTTTATTATTTAATAACAAATCTGGGTGATATTTCCAACACATACAAACTGACCTCACTCTTTAAAAATGTCGTGTATTATTTCTTCACGAAGCCAAACCATAACCTACTTAACCAATTCTTTGTTTATGGAGATCTGAATTGTTTCTGTTACTTTGTTTTACAAATAAGGCTTCAGTGAACATTTCTATACAGCGATCTTGGGATATGTTCCTGTAGCATTTCAAAGGATAGTCTCCTAGCAGAAGAATTCATGGGTCAAGGATATGTAGGTAATTAACTTAGATAATGACAAATAACCCTTCAGAATGGTTGCATCGTTTATACTTCTACCAGGAATAAATGAGTACATGTATTGACTCACAACTTGTTACCCTGAATGATAGCACACTTCACATTTTTTTGACAAGCTGATGGATGAAAAATATACCACCAACATTTTGATGTGTTTCTGACTCTTTCACACACAGTTTTTGTATAATCGAATACACTATACCTTGTGCATGTCTTTTCATTACTTGCCTGTGCAGTAATCTTTTGAGTGAATGTGATTTCCATTCCCCTATTATAGGGTCTATAGTTATTCCTGTTAATTTATATATCACTGTTCATATTTAATAGAGAACTAGGATTATTGATTCAAAGGGTGGGGATATTGTTGATTCTCAATATATTTTGCAAATTTGCTTTCCAAAGTGTTGGCACCCATTTCCAAAGAAGCCAACAATATATGAGAGTGTATTTTTCACTGTGCCCTCAACCAACGTGGGAGGAATTATGCCTTTTATCTCCTGTTTCACATTGACATGTGAAAAATGTGACTGCAGTTACACACGGTAGGCCTCTTTATGGCATCCGATATATCTTCAGGTCTGTTTTTCCACTATTCTTGTTCTTTTTTTTTTCTTTATGCGCTGCAATTTGGACATTTCCTTTTGATCTATCTCCAGTTAAATAGTTTCCCTTAGGGGACTCAAATTTGCTCTTGAAGTCATTCTTTTAGTTCTTAATTTCAGTTAGGTATTTTTCAGTCCTCAAATTTCCATCTGGTTCTTTTTTTATAGTTTCCAGTAGTTTTCTGATGAAATCCGTATAATACAATTTTCGAGCCTTGTAATCACGCTTTAAGGTTTGTCTCTGACAGCTCCGTGTAATGTTCCCCCAGCAGGGTCTGAAGGCCCACCTTTTCCACACCTTGCCAACATTTGTGCCTATCTGTCTTTTTTATTGTAACCATCCTAGTGGGGATGAAGTGATACCTCTTTTTGGTTTTGATGTGCATTTCTCAGTGGCTAATGTTGAGCATCTTTTCATGTGCTTATTGTTAATTTGTGTATCTTCTTTGGAGAAATGTCTCTTCAGATCCTTTGTCCATTCTAGATATAGGTCCCTTATTAGATACATGATTTGCAAATAGTTTCTCCCATTCTGTTGTCTTTTCACTTTCTTTTCATTCAGTTTTTAGCTGCCAATTCCCAGGTACAAAATTCATAGCAATCTATTCGTGCTACTTCCTAAACTAAAGCAGTGAGATTTAACCTAATCCTGCAAATATTCCCGAGTGCCTTTCAAATATAAGACAGTTTGCCTGGAGCTGGCATTTTACTCTTTGAGTATTCACAGAAAGGTATGCCAAAATAGACATATATAAATGTTCACTGAAGCCTTGTTTATAAAGCAAAGAAACAGAAACAATAAACTTTTTCATAAACAAAGAATTGATTAAATAAGTTATGTTTCTGCCTCATGATACAACAGTATGCAAGATTTTAGAAGAATGCAGTTTATATGTGTTAATGTAGAAATAACACCACTATTTTAAATTAAGTGACCCAGAATGTAAAACGTTTCATATAGTAAGAGTTTCCTCTGTGTAGATGCACACATAGGCATTCCGGTCGTGGACACACAGGGCTGGAAGTAGAGTTGGGGTTCAGAAGCGGCTGGGGGAGACGAAGGAATTTTATTCCTAGAGCTTTCTTGTGCTGCCTGCAGAGGGAGCTAGAGTGAGACTAAGTCAAGTCCTATCTTAGTATCTCTTAGGATTTTGTGGGTCAGCTATTCAGCAGGACTCACCAGGCAATTCTGTTCCACAGAGCATCCACGGCGATCACTCGGTAGTCTTAGCTGGGCCCTGGGCTAGGCTGGAAGGCCCTATGTGGCTTCGCTCACATGCCTGGCACCTCTGCCCCAAATAATAACAATGGCTCACATTCACTGAGTGTTGACTGGATGCCAGACCTTTTTCTGAGCCCTTTACAGTAATCAGATCCCCGAGTCCTTGACACAGCCCTCACCTTTGAGTGGGCACTAGTATTAGTCCTGTTTATGGAGAGAAAACTGAGAGAGAGATGTGACTTGTACAAGGTCACAGTTGTAGTGAGTGGTCGGGCTGGGATCAGAACCCAGGGTGCTGGCTCGGGAGCCCAGAGGTTTGACACTACAGCAGGAGTCCCTGGTGCCTCTGCGTGGGGACTCTGCCCTCCGGGAAGGCTTCCTTACTGCAGGAAGAGGCCACCTAGCTGGCCCTGCTCTCCAGCCTGGCAGAGCTCACTTCCAGAGCTCGGAGCATCCATGCCCCTGATCCTGCCGAGCAGGGGAGGGGAAAGGTCCCTGCTCCCCACTGAGAACCCCTGTGGGATAGGGGAGACAGGAGCCAACCGCCCTGAGCCCGGCTGACCTGGGGAGGCACGAGCCTTGTAAAAGAGGGCTCAGTGTTACCCAAAACACTGGTTCCCTTTCAGCTCAGTGAACTTCAGAAGGAGCAGCATGGAGCGAATTTGGCCGTGTCTCCTTTGAAGGTGATGTGTGAAATCAGTATGAAATGCCTCTTTCAAGAAAAAGAGGCTTCGTATTTTCCCCTTTGTAGAAGTAGTCCATGTCTGTGGTATAAAAATACTGGAAAGAAGATGAAAGATATTTATTACCCTAAATCCCCATCTGGACCTAGCATTTCTGTATATTTTCTTCCACGTATTTTACATGTGTTAGAGATTCCACCGTACCTACATGTCTGTCCTACTTTTCCCACACGATACTGCAACCTAGAGGGGCTGTCCTGTTTCTCCCACCCTCTGAAGCTGCTGTCCATCCTGGCGTGTAAAGCATGAGACATTGCAGTTCACCAAGCTGCCACCCTTGCTGTCTGTCTGTCCATCCTCACCCCACTTATTGTATATAAACACCATGATGCAGGTGTTTTATTAGGGAAGTTTTTCCCATATATCTAGACATCCCTTTAGGACAAATTCCTGGAAACTGGCATTACTAGCTCACAGGGTCTAATAGGTTCTTTGGTAGTTGGACATGTTGTTTGGTTGATGGCAGGCTTAACCTCAAATACGGCATCTGGATTTGGGCAGTGGACCTGGAAGGGTGGGCATGGCCTGGGAGTTAGATGGACTTGGTTAAGCCCTGGACCCCACTGACTTACGAGTCCATCTCCCTCTGGGGCCTTGGTTTCCTTAGCCGTTAAACTGGAAATGTGGGCTGCACAATCCCTAAAGCCCTTTTCTATCCAGAACCCCATATCAGTCTGAGCCTCAGGGTGGCATCTGTGAAATGAAGCAGCAGGACCCCCCTGGGCTGCCCTCTCTGTAGATGCCACCCAGGGAAAAGTGGAGCGTGAACTGCAAAGTGCTCAGCCAGTGAGGTTTCCTTGCTCATTCTGTACCGTTTCCTTAAAAGAGGACCGTTATCCCTTGCAAACTGCAAAGTGCTTTATAAATGCAAGATAAACAGATACACACAGTACCAGCACCGTATTGGTCACACAGGGCAGGGCCTGACCCAGAAGAGGTCGGGCTCCACAGGGGAGCCACGGAGACCTGGTCCACTTCCAGCCCCTCCTCAGGGGCGTCATTCACCTCTCGGGGGCCTCAGTTTTCTCATCCACAAATGGGAATTGTGAGTCCCCGCCTGGCATGGGGGTCTTGGGGAGGATTCATGATGATGACAGCCACCACCCTGAGTGCCTGCTGTGTACCAGGTACCCCATGCCTATTTTCTTCTAAGTTCAACACATCAGAAAGAGGAACATGAGCCTCCTTTGCATGAGGAAACTGAGGCTCACAGGTGAAGTGACTTGCCCAAAGTCACACAGAGCTACTCAGCAGCAGAGCCAAGATTTGAACCCAGCTCCATCTGCTGCCAGAGGCTGCAGCCTTGCCCTCAGCCACACCGCATCTCCACAGGCCAGCCTCATGAGGGGCACGGGAGGGTCACCATCACCACCCACAGTGGCTGCGTTCCTGGGGGAGCTGCGCCAGGAGATGTTCAGCTGAGCCTGGCTGAATGGATGAGGTCCTGATGTCTGGGGTGGTCTGATCTGGGGGCCTGGGGAGCCCCACCCAGGTGCTCTGGGAGCCCCAGCCTTCAGGTCCGACTACCCCCTGTCCTTACTGGGCGCCTGGGCAGCCCTGCCCAGGAACTGAGGCGCGAATGTCCCTGAGCCCCTGGGAGGGGTAGGGAAGGGGATCCTGGCAGGAAGAGGTCATTCCCACCGCCAACAGGTGGGAAGGTGATGAGCCCAGGGCTATGCTCAAGATGAGAGTCTGTCACCCTCCCCAGACATGCACAGACATAGGACCATTTCGTGGCAGGGGGTTCACAGACATTATTCATGTAAAAATATGCCAATGGCCATGTTGTGCCCACAGGTGGCACAGTGACAGTGCCTGGGTAGTGGGAAGGCCTGCCTAGCCAGGTCGTCAATGCCCTTCATACAGATAAGCAAGTACAGGTGTAGAGAGGAGCCTGTCACGGAGCTGGTCAGTGGCGGAGCCCAAGTCCACGCCTCTGTCGCCCTGAGCGTGGACCCCATCAGAGGGCAGTGGGGAGTCCCACCCCAGGGGGGTGGCAGTGCAGCTGCTGGCTTTCAAAGCTGGCTCTGGCTTTGGGGCGGAGGGAAGGGTTGCGGGGAGGGGGCTGAGCTAAGGCGGTGCCGGGGATGCAGAGCAGACAAAGCCCCCGCCCCTGCACGAGCCCTTCCCCCATGGACCCACCTGGCTACAGCTTTCCTCCCACCCTTCCAGGCTAAGCTGGCTTCCCCGGTCCGGAAGTGCTGGAAGAGGAATGGCCTGATCGTGCACCTGCTGCAGGAGCTGCGCAGACACGGGGCAGCGGATCCCCTGCTCTCCTCTGCGGTGCAGAGCGTGCTGGATGACGAGGCACTGGCCGAGTACGCGGCCACCTACCTGGCTCCGAGGGTACCAGAGGTAGATCCCCCCATACAGTCCTGTCCCTCTTCCTGTGGGGGCTGCTGGCACATGACCTGCCTGTCCACCTGCCTGACCTGAACTGTCCCTCCCTCCTTCTGTCCACTGCCCACCCCCCCAGAACATGCCCTGAGCCCCTTCTCTGTGCCAGCACCCATGCTCGGGGCTGCTGTAGGAAGGTGATCTAGCCACTCTTACCCTAAAAGTGCTCACAGTCAGTGAGAGAGGCAACTGAGTCTCAGAGGTTGGGAATCTCACTCACAGCTACACAGCCCCCAGGAGACACACAATGACTTGAAGTCAGTGTCACGTGAGCACCATGGCATTGTCTTTCTTTCACGCCCGCTCAGGACCTTAGCACCTGCTGCTTCCTCTAGCGGGACTCTTGTCTGCCCACGGCCTCCTCTCTTTCCTTAGGGAGCCACTCAAGTGTGACCTTGTCCAGGGAGCCTGACATAGACCACACATCCCCTCTGTCCTCCACGCATGTCGGCATGTGTGATGTGGCATGTAGAAGGGATTTTCCCCTGCTGTTGGGGGAATTTTATTGGCACCTCTGTTGATGCCAGAGTCGTTCCATAACCATTTCTGTCTCTCTAGTGTTTGTCACAGACAAGCTGCTCAGGGAATATTTGTTGAATGAATGAAATATAATGAACTAAATGAATGAGGATCTCCTCTCCTAATGGTCAGTGAAAGAGGAAACTGAGGCTCAGAGAGGTTGGGAATCTCATAGCTACACAGCCTCCAGGTGGTGTGGATGGTGATGGCTGCCAGTTCTGACCAAGGTCTGGTAAAGGTGCTCCTGGGTGTGTGTGGTGCTCAGCTGAGCCTGCCTGTGCCCACACGCTCTCACATGCCCAGGCATGCAACCCTGTTCCTGGGGACCAGCCAGCAATGCCCCTGCCAGTGTAGCTTGGCTCCTGATGGTACAAGGGCGAAATGCAGCTCCTGCCACAGAAGCAGCCGACCCTGCTTTCCACAGTCCTGCCTCTGGAGGCTCCACATGCAGCGTGCCTCTCCCTCCACAGCCCTTCCCAGCCAAGCCTCTGTGGGGCCACCCTTCTCTGTCCCTGCCTTGACCCCACAGCCTTCAGAGAGTCTTAGGGACCCCCTGGGCCAAATCACCACACAGCCCAGAAGATGGAGACCTAGGGGCTGAGGGCTCAGGGCTACGTGGCGACTTGCTTCAGAGCCAGAGTGTGAACCCGGAGTCCCAGAGTGCTTGATTTGTTCTCTGAGGGGTTCAAACTTCTTCAGAGACAGGATAGGGTTTAAGAAAGAGGTCAGCATCCTGTTGAGATGCCTGGCACACTCCCTGACAGAGTTCCAGGGTGTGGGATGCAGCAGGTGTCACCTGCAAGTGACACTGGGCCTGCCGGCTGTCTACTGAGAGGGCATCATAGCCACGAGGGCCCTGCCCTCCAAGAGCTGCTCTGCAATCTTGCAGGCTCTGAAAGTAGCACTGAAGTGCTCACTAGGATTGGACAAGCTGACTTACAATGACCAAATTCACAGGGATCGATGTATAAAACTGGACACTAATGTATTAATTTCGAGAGACAGCACTGTGTGCAGGCTGAAGTACTGGATGGATGGATGAAAATGTCAGCTTATTCTCCCCCTATAGTACAGCCAAGTTCATTCACTCATTCATTTGTTCATCTGCTGGTCAATAAATATTTATAATCAGAAGGTCATTTGGGACCCTGGAATGAGAACAGGGAATTGAAGGTGTCCTCGGCCTGCTTCGCTCATTTCCTGGGAGGATGTGCTCCTGGGCCTGGACATGCCTCCCCTTGGGCCAGAGTGTCCTCCCCAGACTGGTCGCAAGGCCATAGCCAGTTACAAGCTTGCACTCCCTCCTATTAGCTCTGAATCTGCCCCAAATCGTTTTGCATTATTTTACAACTCAGCTCCCCAAGAACATCCCCATTTCATGATCTAGGGGGCACCTCACTGTTCCCTCCACAAACCACAAAAACTCGGCTCTATATTCCATTCCACAGACGTTTATTGAGCACCTACCCGATGACGCAGGTGTGTGCCAGGTGCTGGGGAGAAAAGGCGACCAGACAGGCCAGATGGGTGGCCGCGCACTAGCAGACGGGGCTGAAGCAATCTCAGGTCGCAAGGGTCCTGAAGGAGGCAAACAGGGACTAAGACAGACACGGACCAGCTGAGACTCTTATCTGCCCCAAGCCTCAGTTTTCTCATCTTTAAAATGGGAATAGCACAACCTCCTGGTAGCCCTGGCATGAAAGCTGAGTGAGATGACAAGCGCCTTGTCTGGGGTGTGCCACACGATGAGGACCTGGTCCCTGCATAGTCACTTGTCAAGGGGGTGGGCCCTGGCATCAGGGAGTCCTGGGTTCAAACCTTCGCTCTGCCACTGTCTAGCTCTGTGGCCTCAGGAGGGGACACTTACATGCTTGGGCCCTTCCACGTGCTTTATGTAACTAACTGGGGGAGACCACTCTTACTATCTCCCTTTCTGGATGAGGAAACTGAGGCTTAGAGAGGTCACAAGTCCACCCAGACACACACCTGCAAGCAGCCTTCTAGCTTGCGGCTTGTGTGTGAAGTCACCTGCCTACACAAAGCTGGGGTCAGATGTGGGCAGTAGCTTCTGCACATGGCCAGTGTCATCACAGCCTCAGGGAAGGCGGGGTAATGGGTGCTGTGTGGTGCTGGGGGCACGTGGGGCTTGGCACATTCTAGGCCCTCAATCAGTCTGTCCCGCTTGTCGCTGGAAGGCCACGCCTCCATGTGCAGATATAAGGAAGCAAAAAAAATCCATGATATGTTTAAGAAACCAAGATGGAGAGGGGGGTCCAGAGTGGAGGGGTGGCAGGGGACTGGCTGGGAGGTCGCTGCACGGGGTTCTCCTGTGTGGGGAGAGCCAGCGGCGCTGCTGGGGCAGGACCCACGTGTGTGAGGAAGACAGATCCGGCAGGTGTGTGGCCGAGGGCCCAGGCAGGCCGTGCACCGAGCCTGTTTCGGCAGCAGATGGCTCTGGCCGCGAAGATGCGGGGCCCAGGCAGCCGAGCGGAGCCCTCGTGGAGGGATTGGTTCCTCCGCCGGCAGCCAGGCGGAAAGCGGTTTCACGGGCAAAGACTCTCGTTGCAGGGCAGACAGACGGGACTCCTGATGGAGGCTTCCGGCTCTGGCGGGGAGCCCGGGAGGCCTCCTGTGGGCTGGGCTATGATGATGGGCGTGGAATGGGGTGCAGAGCAGAGGGTTCCTGGGAGCAGGAGGAGGGCCTGCGTAACTTCGAGGTGGGGCCTTGCAGATGCATCCCCGGGATGCTTGTGCTCTGGCCCCTGCCCTGCGGGCTCCTCACACTGACCACAGGGTGGAGGCAGCTTGGGGGTAGGCGGGGCGGGGCCCAGCTGGGCAGCTGCCGTTTGTGGACCCACCAGGAGTGGTGTGGTGGCCCAGAGGGACAGCCCTTCCGCCAGCACTGTCCCGGGGTTAACTCACTGCAGCCTCCCAACTACTGCGGAGGAGGAGACCGAGGCTCCTAGTGTAAGAGCCGGCCAGGGTCACCCTCCGGAGCCGCTCTGCCCTTTCAGGAGGAGGGTGCTCCCGCCCATAGCCAGCTCTCCGGGCAGCGCCTCCACCCGCGGCTGGGTGGGCGGGAGGCCCGGAGCCTCAGTGGCTCAGACCCGTGTCCTTGCCTCCGGGCTGTGTCCAGGTTTGGTCTCCGTCTGCTAGAGCAAAACCCAACAGATGGGGGGCTTGGACAACAGACACTCCTTCCTTACCTTCCTGGAGGCTGAAGTCAGAGGCTGGGGCGCTGCTCGACTGGCTTCTGGTGAAAGGCTCTTCCCGGCGCCCGGACGGCCGCCTCCGTGCTGTGTCTGCAGAGTGGAGAGAGAAGCAGGCTCTCCTGTGCCCCTTCTCACAAGGGCCCGAACCCCGTCATGAGACACCCCCCCCCTCCCCAGCCTGTTCACCTCCCGAAGGCCCTGCCTCGGAATGCCACCGCATGGCATTAGGCTGCAGCATGTGGGTTTGGGGGACACAGACGTTCCATGCACGGGTTGGGCGGGGACCTCCGGATCTCAGGGCTGCCATCTACCTGTGCTGTTATCTGCGGACCCACTGTCTTCCCTCGGCATCCCGGGCCGTCGGCAGCCCCAGGTGGGCCCTACCCCCGCCCTGGTGTCCTTCCTCCAGCTCGGGCTCTGGTTCTGAGGCAGAGGGATCCCGGGAGGCCAGCGTGGCTAGACCCCCACTGTCTTGCCGCTGGGAACGCAGGGGCGCACCACGCCCCTGGCTTTAGCTGAGAAGCAAGAGGACACGGGGTCCTTCCTGCTGGGCTCCCAGCACCTCTCTGGGTTCCCAATCTACCCCACCCCCAGACTTGGCTTCAGCGGACAGGGGTCAGGGCTTCTTCTCAGGGGCACTTTCACTTCCTCCCGGCCACCAGCCCCAGGACCCCTATTTCTTTCTCCCTGCTTCTGCCAGGATCTGGGCTGACGGCAGCCAAGAAAGAGGCTCCTTTCTTTGATGTTTGCATCTGGGTGTGAGCCCCTCCTTAGAGGCAGATGCCCAAAGGGAGGTGGAGAAGGGTCCCGGGGCTCACCTGGGAGCAGGCGCTGGTTACCGTGGCAGCACACCCCCTGCCCCTGCCAGGACAACCTCCCCCAGGGCTGGTTAGGCAAGGGGGCGGGGTAGTCCCCCTGCAGGCTCTGGGAGGTCTGATGAAGACCCCGTGCCAAATGCCCAGCGCAGCGCAGGCACTCAGAAGGGTCCCTTTAGGCAAAACTGAAGCTGTGCTCCCCGGTGGGCGGTTGGGGGGGGGCGGGGCTTGGCATGCCCGCACTGGAGGGTCTCTGACCCCTGCCTTGAGGGGCGCCCATGACCTGAAGGAAGCTACTAATTTCAGCTCTTGCCTTATTCTTTCCTCTTCCCTCCTCCTCCAGGAAGCAGCCAGTGAGATTTATACGTGTGTGGCCTTCAGAAATAGAATCTCATCTTAAAAAGCAGGAGCGGGACTCAGAGCCCTGAGCACCCCTGATTCATTACATCGGTGATCTCAAGCCTGGGCCTCCACAGATCCAGGCTATTATTTTCTCTTTAGCTGCTGCCTTTGATGAGGTTTAGAATATCCCCCCAAAAGTTTATATGGGGAGAGCGGCAGGGGAGTGAGCATGTAGGATGAACCTTTCTTTCTCTGCTGCTCCAAGAAGAGCATTTAGTAGACACTCATTCTCATTTCTTTCTAATGAAACCCTGCAAGCGATGCATTGGTGTCTCCATTCTACAGGTGGAGAGCACAGGGCTCAGGGAGTAGCTGACGTGGCCGAGACCGTGGCCTCGAGGAGGTGGAAGAGCCAGGGTCCAGCCCGAGAGCGCCTCTGGCTCTGAGCCTCTCCGGGCCAGCGGGCTAGACGGGGAGCAGAAAGCCGGGAGGGGTCTGTCGATCTGGGCCACACACTGAGTGCAGTGCCAGCCCAAGTCAGTTTAATGCCTGTGAGGCTGCTCTGTGGACATGCAGGTCGATGAGCTCTCACTCTGGTGCTGAAGGAGTCTGCACCTCAGGAGGCTGACTCCACTCAGGGTGCAGGAAAAGTGCTCGCCTGAAGCACTGGCAATGAGCAGAGGGAGAGGGAGGCTTCTTGGGGAAGTGCTTCCTGAAGGAGGAAGTACACACCCTAAGGGTGTGATAAAAGGGTTTGGGTAGCTGGACAGATGGAGTCGGGGCCCTCCAGGCTGGGAGACCTCATGCACACAGGCCCGGCAGTGTGAATGGTCATCATGAGTGAGGTGGTCCAGGGGATATTAGCAAAGCGTTCCAAGAACAGAGGAAAAGAACAGAAGCTACAGCCTCGTACAGAAGGCTCCCAGTAAGTGGTGGTGTGATTGGATTAGTATTGGAAGATGGGGCTGAACCACAGTTCATGGCTGTATATTAGTCCCCAGAGAAGTCAATCTGTTTTAGTGGGGACAGCCATAGAGCCCGGATGTCTCATGCAGCCTATAAAGGGTATGTGAGAGGCAGGTGACTCAACCCGGCTAGGTGGAGTCAGGGAAGACCTCACAGAAGAGGGGACACTTGGATTAGGTCTTGATGTATACATAGAAGTTCACCAAAGAAAGAAAGCAAGAGCAGGGGTCTTCCAGACAGGAGGGTGGCTGATGCAAATACCTGGAGGACACAGTGGAGATTGGAGAGGGGAGATACCACAGTGACACTGGACATGGGGCTCCTGCCCCACCAAACACCTGAGAGGGAGATCTGGATCAACTCGAACCTGCCCTGAAGATGCAGCAGTTGCTCTTGTTCAGCAGTCGGGGGTCTCTGTGCTGAGAAGCTGAGTTACCGTGGCCCAGGTCCCACACTGGCCCCTAAGGTCAGCAAGGGGTGTAAGTTTGGTACGTCTCGATTGTTTGGTGCAAGTGGCAGCTGATTGGTTGACTTGCCAGCTGGCGTCTGTTTTGGCCACACTGGCAGGACCACACTGGGGACTGTTCTGCTTTAGAGAATAGACTTCATGTTGTGGGTCTCTCAAGGACTCAGAATCCACTTGTGGCCTTGTAGGGAAAATGGAAGGTCCATGGCCAGGATCCTCACCTGGCCCTCCTCTGCTTGCCCACTGCTCATGTGCAATGCCCGCAGGTGTTTGCTTGCACACCTGTTGGCAATGAGCCATCACTGACCCTATGTAAAGAGCTCCACCCAGTGCTCTGGGGCTGTGAGGCTGTGGAGAAGGCAAAGACCGACTTGATACGTGCAGACCTCCCTGGAGGCAGGCGTGATTTTAGTACTTGATGTGCCATCATGAGAATAAAGTTTGGTGTAAGACCTTCCCCAAAACATTCTTGTGGATAAAGTGAAGGTTCCTGTGGCCAGGATTCTCACCTGGCCCTGGTTGGCTAGCTCACTACACACGTGTGGGCAATGTGTCGTTATTGACTCTATATAAAGAGCTCTACTCAGTGCTCTGGGCAACACGGTGGCATGGTGGCATGGCTGCAAGGCTGCAGGAGAGTAGAGCGGAGGCTGGAGTGGTGGCAGTGTTGAGGACAGAGACCCAGAGGCAGAGACAGGCTTGTTGTACGCAGACTCGTTCTGAGTAGACGAGATTCTAGTGATTAACCTGCCACCGTGGAAGTGAAGTTGGGTATAACCCTTCCACCTGAAGAACATTCTACTGTTATTTCTTTGGTCTTACTGAATCCAGAGTGATCTTGCCTGGGGCTGAAACCCTCAGGCAAGACAGGCCTCCTGTCAATACATCGCCATCTGATTCCACTTTGTTTGGGCCTCAGTTAGCCTGCTGGGATCCATCTATTTTCTGGCATCACTGGATTTGGGAGAGTGTGGATAAAGTGAAGGTTCCTGTGGCCAGGATTCTCACCTGGTGCTGGTCGGCTGGCTCACTACATGCGTGTGGGCAATATGTTGTTGTTGACTTTATATAGAGAGCTCTGACCAGTGCCCTGGGCGACATGGTGGCCTGGCCATATGGCTGCAGGGCTGCAGGAGAACAGAGGCTGGAGTGGTGGCAGAGCAGAGGACAGAGACTGAGACGGCTGCGGGGGCAGAGAGGCCTGGAGGCAGAGACCGGCTTGCTGCCTGCAGATTCGCTCTGAGTGGACGGGATTCTAGTGACTGACCTGCCACCATGGGAATAAAGTGGGTATAAACCCTTTCACCCCAAGAATGTTCCATCGTCAGTCCTCGGTCTCACTGAGTCCGTAATGAACTTGCCCGGGGCTGAAACCCATTGGCAAGACAGGGGGGCAGAACTCAGTTGGTTTTGTCTAATTTTCACAGGATTTAGGTTCAAGCTGACCTGAATTCCTGGGTGGGGCCAGGGCCCTGGTTGCAACTCAGTAATCAGTTCTCAGAAAGTGTCAGAGGACCTTCATCGGGAAAAAGTTATTTCTCCTGGAAACTTGGCCCTCCAGCTGCCCTTATTTTTTTCCACTTTTTAACAGCAATTTCGAAAATACATTATTGCAGTTGCCATTTGGAGATTTAATTTGAGCAAAGGAAATGGAATCACTTCCTTGTACCTGTATTTCCTAATTGCAGACCTGGACACCTTCAAGGGTAGTGGGCAGAAAGGGGAGGGGGTCTGTCTGCACAGGAAGGGTGGGTGTGACCACGGAATGGACTTTGTGCAGGGAGAGGTGAGTGGCCCTGCTTTGTCTCAGATGCGGTCACCTGTGTAATGCTGAGGTCTTTTATTCCAGGTAAGCTGCCACCTGGATGTGGAGTCAGAGAGGACATCACTTGTGAGAGGTCAGTGTGACTTTCAATTAGGAATAGTCTCTGTGCTCAGACCCAGTCCGAGCCGGCAGAGCAACCTGTGTCCGGTAGGCAAGGGTGGGAAAATGCCCCCTGGCAAGTGTAGACTGATGGCAAACTGGACCCCACTTCCCCCTACTCCCTCCTTACTCCGCTCTGCATTGTATCACAATGTAAACACAGTAGAAAAATACTGCTCTACGAAAATGGTCAAATTTTTCAGCCCCTAGTTTTACTCCTGGAAATTCATCATAAGTAAATAATTCTATGTGTGAAAAAACTCAGTGGATAGGGGTATTCATACCAGGGCATTTATAATAGTGAAAAACTGGGGTAAAAGTCTCCAGTACTGTTAATTAACCCATATACTCAATAAAATATTAGTCACTAAAATGATGCTGGTAAGCACCATGTGATAGCATGAAAATTATACTCTATTCAATTTTAAAAAGATATGAAATGGAATGTATCAGATAACTACAGTGGTATAACTATACATGCCCATCTGTGTATGACTGGCAGCTTAGGCTAGGAAATAAACTTAGAGTGGTTACTTGGGAAGATGGTAACATGGGTGATTTCTTTTGTTCTATTACTGTTATCATTAAAAAAGAAATTCAGATGCCACCTGGTCAGACAGAATCTCCCTCTTTAAATGCAGTGTACTTTCAGCAGGGGGTGGGGTAGGGTTTCTGAGGATTTATTTAGGGTTATGTTTGTATCAGGTGCTTGGTAAAGACATGGAGAAAGTATGCGTGGTGTTACCTTTAGGTATTGAGTTGCTCTTCTCTGGTCATTTAGAAATTTTTACTAGATTCTATTCTTACCACCTGTATGATCTTGGATGAGTTAATGAGTTCTCTGAGCCCCAGACACTTATCTTTACAAAGAGGATACTATGCCCTTTCTCAGGTGTGTCTAGTACTTAGTGCAGAAGAGAGATCTATTCTCAGTCTTTCACTGGTCAGGACTGGCCCTTCTGCACCTTTGTCTTCTGTCCCTGCGGTCTGAGTTGGCATCTCTTTTCACATTCGGAGGGGCATCAGTTCTAGGTTGTGCATCTGCCACTCATTTGTGCCAGTCTCCTCCCTTGTCTGGGCTCAGCTTCCTCATCTTTAAAAGGACTTGTACTAGATTGATTGAGTTATTCATTCATTTAACATTTCTAGAAGGCTGCCATGTGCCAGACCCCCGGAGGTACTGTAGGGTTTACAAAGATGAGTGCGCTTGCAGAGGCGGTGGTGCCTGTGCTGAAAGAGCTTGAGGCTGGGTGGGGGAAGGTGAGCAGGTAGGCAGTTTTCTAGGATACCCAAGACCATCACAGTACCAACGGGGGTGTGAATGAGATGCACAGAGAGTTCAAAGGCCTCTGTCATGGTGTAAAAATCAAGGAAGAAGTGAGAATGAAAAAAGTTATTACAGGGCTCAGAGACTTGTTCATTTTTAGAAAGAGATTTCTAGAGTGAGGCTTGACTGCAGATGTTCTCTTCCAGCTCCGAAATACCTTCTGAATCCTGAAATGGACAGTGTCCTCCCAAGACACTGGCATACAGCGTCCTTGACTATTCCCAAGGCTGAGTGGCCAGCACAGACAGCTCAACTGGACTCTCTGAAGGTGAGAGGACATGTTAATTTCTTAAACATTTTTATTGAAAGTATAACACATTCAGAAAAGGGTACAATTCATAGCGTACAGCTCAATGAATTATCACAGAGTGATGTGTGCCCGTAAAGAACTAGAAAATGACCAACACCACAAGGCCCCCCTGGTTTCCCCTCCTAATTTCTTCTTTTTTTTAAAATGTGTTTTTAAATTTGTGTTTTTGGTCCACTTGTGTGTCTTGTGTCTGGTTATTTTTTTACTGAGTGCTGGGCATCATGTGTGAAAACCAGAAGCTAAAACCTGAGGTACCGTCATCCAGGGAGGACTTCCTTTTACTTCTGACAGGCAACTAGGCCGGGATAGACCGTTCTTCGTATCATAACTGACTCAGAGATGAGCTTCACTCCTTACGTGGTCTGCTATCTTTCTTGTTCACTTTTAGTCCTAGGGCATAGCATTTTGGGGGCCCAGCCAAAAGTCTGTAGTGTTTATCAGTGTCCTTTCCCCTTGGCCCCTGTTAGTCCCGTGAGGCTGTCGACATCTCAGCTTTCTACCTCTCAGTGCCATCATCATGTTCAGGCTCTGCCTTCACCTGGAGGGGAAATACAGCTTCCAAAGCTATACGAGCTGCTCTTGGCTTCTCCTGTTTCCAGCTTCATCCCACAAAGCCTGACAGTCTTGGTTTAGGTAAATGTTTTGTTATATTTTGTCCAGCTTTCCTAGTTGTACTTATTGGAGATTTGGCCTAAAATGTCTTAATCAAAGTCAGAGCAGTCCTTGTTTTCCTGGAGAGAACTAATTTTGCTTATGAAATTTGTAGTCTTACAGGCTTGATTTAAAATCCCAGCTGTAATTCAATGTGATGTTGGGCAGATTAGTTAGTGTGTCTGTGCCTGACTCTCCTCATCTGTAAAATGGGAATAATACTGCCCCCGGCTGATGTGAGGATAACACCAGGCAAGCAGAGCTGACGTATGTCTGGAGCATAGGAGATGCTCAAGAAAAAAAAATAGCCATTATTCAGGAGGAAACTAATCCTTAGCATTTTATCTCAACCTATTGTTTTTCTTCCACCTTTTATTCCTATGGCTTCTGTCCTGCCTCCAGATTATATTAATTTTTTAAATCTAAGAAATAGAGGCAATATTTACCCCTCTGGGTTGTTGGGATAATTCAACACAATCATGCATATAACATATTTACTATCTGGCACAAGGGAAGCATTCAATAAATGAAAGCTATTATTGACCATTAAAATTGTTTTTTTCTGACTGGTGACTTTTACTTTAATTACTTGCCTATAGGCTTATTGCTTAGAAATGAGAACTTCTTTCCAACTTTGATCTTTTCCTGAAAATTACCTCTGGCTTTTGATGTTGGGCCTGCCTAATCACAAGCAGGTAGAAGGCATTGTAGGCAAAGGGAGCACCTGCTGAGACAGGGGGGTGAGTGCACGTGAGGTGGGGGAAGCCCAGGCAATTCCCTGTGGCTGCAGCGTCAAGTAAGGAGGTGGGGCGAGGAGTCTAGAGCATAATGAAGAGGGTGATCAGAACAACGAGGACAAAATCCCACTCCCGTTTCTTAAATGCTTCCTGTGTGCCTGCTTACTACATGCAAAGCATGAAGTGATCCATTTTCATCATTCACCATATAAGAGATGTCAGCATTAGCCCCACTTTACCTATGAGAAACGGTGAGGCACAGAGGAGGTAACAGCTAACCCCAAGTCACACAGCTGGGAAGGGGCAGAGCTGGGATTCCAACCCACGCAGTGTGGCTCTAGAGTTGAGACTCTGGTCATTGTGTGGCCAGATGATGCTGGCTTTCACTGGGGATGGGAGCAATCTCTCCTGCCAAGTCCACTCTGGAGTTGAGTGTGAGAAAAAACCCTCCAAAATCTACTTTAGGTGATACTGGCCCCAAACCAGTAGCAAACCTGCTGGGGAAATAGTTGGAGCATGAATGAATGAATGAATGAATGAATGAATGAATGAATGAACGAACGAACGAACGAACGAATGAACGAGCGAACCAAAAGTGCTTCTTAATACTCCTAGGGTTCTAAGTTTCTCAGTTGTTCTCTGACTTCAAAAAATGTAGAATGACACTGGATAAAACTCTTCGTTTATTGGACATAATTTCAGGTTCATGGGACACTTTTGTCTCTCTGTAGTGAGATCACAGGATGTTAATTTAGACACTTTTGTTCCCATGCTTTACACAGTACCTGACCAATAGGAGGGCTTCCAAAGTCTATGTTGGATGAATAATGGGGGGGAAGGGGGTGCTGTTGGGCTGTTTCTCTAGGTCATGTGGGCACCTTGTCCTCGTCCCTGGCATTGCATTTTTGCCTGAAGTCTTGGTTCTATTCAGTTGTAATGAGCATTGAGGAGCAGAGCTCTCTGCCCTGCAGTAAAACAGATTGTAAACTGTATGTCTGGGCTGCCTGACTAAGGGCTTCCTATGGTGAGGATGAATTTGTTAAATAACTACACCAGGGGATTAGTGACCTATAAGCAAAACGAGGTCATTTTTGAAGGACAGTAACTAAATTTTTCACATGTCACAATTATTTTAGGGTTGAACTTAGAGGGGAAAAAAGCATAGGGGAAGCCTACAAGTACACAAAAATATCATGAAAGGCTGTTAAGCCTTTGGTGGTTCAAGAAATGTTTATTCCTCTATAATATAAGTCAGATCGTGTCATTTTTACGCTGAAGACCCTTCATTCCTTCCTGTGTCCAGCAGCAGACTGTAGTGGTGAGTCAGTTCAGAAGCCATACAGCCTATTAGCTGTGTGGCTTTGGGAAGTCCTTTAGCCTCTCTGGGCCTCTGTTTCTTCATCTGTGTAATGGGATAATAATATTACTTACCTCTGGGTTAAAGATTGAATAAATCCATATGTGTAAATTGCTTAGAACAATGCCTGGCACATCATAAGAGCTCAATAAATATTCACCATCATAGGTTGAACCATATAAAATTGCCAATATTGTGCCACCTTTTCCCTATAAAATCTGTGGTTTCATATAGTTTAAACTAATATGAAATAGTTTGTGACAAGATAAAGTCCAGACTCCTTACATTGGTGTTTGCATTCTATGTGCACATTATTCTATGTGGAATGAGCTTCCGTTTGCAGCACATAACAGTTTAATGCATCTCCCTCCCCAAAGTCCAGCCCAGACACTCACCTCCTCCAGGAGGCCTTCCCACTCCTCAGTGTGCAGCTGCACTCCCTCCTGGGTGCTCGGGTGGCCCTGTGGGGGCCTCTCTTCCAGTTGGATCTCTGCAGTGGGATTGCATGCTTGTTTGCCTGTCTCACACTGGACTGGGGGCATCGTGGGGAAGGGACCAGTCCAGATGGGACACCCATGATCAACCATGCCTGTTTCTCAGCCATCTTCCACCCATGGGGCAGGGGGCACTGAGCACGTGGACTGCCCGCTGGGTCACTGGAGAAGTCTGTTCCATCACACTTACACTGTAGTCACACTCTCCTGAAGAGCTAAGACATACGAGAACTCATGGTACTGAACCTAGTGGTCCTTCCTACCATCTTTAGGGAAGGTGCTTGATAAATGTGAGGTGGTGATCATGAAGGGCTAACACATGTATAATAGCTGCTGCTGGAGCTCTAGAAAGAGTGGGGCTTTGCAGTCAGATGGGCTGGAGTTTGAATACTGAGCTAGCTACTTCAGAGCTATGTGAATGTAGGTGAGATATTTAGAGTCGTTGAAATGGGTAACTTTTTCCTCATGTGTAATGTGGGCCTCATAATAGCCTATTGGGAGGATTAAATGAAAGCAAGTGAAACAGCACATTTGAAAGAGCCTGGACAGTGCTAGGCATGAGGTTGGCATCCAGTAGACATTGACTTCCTGTTAATGGGAAGATTAAAATCTCTTATTACGGGGAAAGAAAATTAATGGAGGACGTCTGCTTTATGGGGTTACCCATCAATGACTGTCTTGTCAGGCACCTGCTGGATGACATGGAGTATGAGCCATCCCCCATTCCAGTCTCTGTTTCTTTATCCATAATGCATGAGGAACATTTGCTGCCAGGCACAGAAAGTGCTCAATAAATGTTAGTTATCATTACCCTCTCTTCCTTGGATAAAATATGCCATCAGATGGGATTTTATAAACATGTAGAAGTAGAGGCCACTTCCTTATGCTCTCGCCTCCAGCTTCCCCTGCCCTCTGGGCTGTTGCCTGACCCTGAAATATGCCCAGCTGCAGCCCCTCTGGAGCCAGGACTCTGAAAATGTCTGTAAGAAAAAGGCGGCGTGTCTTGTCCTGTCCCCCAAGCTGACAGCCCCCCACCAACCCTCTGGGCTCCTGAGTCCCACAAGGATCTGGCTTTCCACAGAGAGCTTAGACAAAGCATTTGCAGCAATTCCCAGGTCAATAAATCACTGCTGGAGTTATAAATTTAATAGGATCCCTCCCTCTCTGGGGCCATTTCATAGACTCCATAAATATTTGAAGCAGAACCTTCAGAGACTCTTTAAGAAATCGGTAGCAATCAAAGCCTCATTCTGTGGCAAGTGGCTTTGCCTCTGGCTCAGGGATTTGTGTTCACTGTCGGAGCGCAGGAGAAATACAGGATTCTGTCCTGAAAATTCTGAGGAGTTTGGCTTTGGCGATACCAAAGCAGCAAAGGGAACGTTTACTGTCCCCACACCTACTGAATGGCTGGCACAGTGGTTCTCTGCTGGGCATGATGGTGTTGTGGCTGGGAAGCTGTTACTGGCAGCCAGTGGGTAGGGGCCAGGGATGCCGCTGAACATCCCGTAATGTGCAAGACAGAATTATCCAGCCCAAGCATCAGCGGGCCTAGGGGTGGGAAGCGCTGGGCTGGTCTAATAGTTCCTAAACCTTGTCAGCCACGGAGAACTGTTTTGTTATTTTTCTGCCCCTGGGCCCCCTCCCCATGTTTTAAAAGATACTTGTCTGCTAAGTGAAGGGCTTGATTTAAGTAATTATATATTTCACATTTTAAAACTT